CGCCTGTCTTTGAGGGAAGTCATTCCAAGATCACCCCTGCTTCAGTCCTCAGCTGTCTGCCACAGTCCTGCTCTGCTGCTCCCATCTGTGTGCAGAAAGGGCCTCATTTACGTCTTCCTCACGTCCACAGCCCTGTCTGTCTGTCTTCCACCTCGGCTTCACTCACTCCTCTGTCCCTGTCCACAAGGAGCTCCCCACATTGGGAGGGAAGTGCCCCAGGGGCAAACTCCTCCTCCTCGCAGCACCTCAAGCAGGGTAGGCACTTTTTGCTGGGTTTCTTTCTTGACTCACTCTTGGTCACTCTTCACGCTTCCTGGTGGCCCCACCCTTCCCTAGATCCGTCACTCCTCCTGCTGCTCAAGTCCAGGGTTTAGGGACGCCAGAGGGTGTGGCTGCTGTGACTTAGTAGTCTGGGAGAATCCTGTCCTTCCAGTTTCAGGTAGAAAACCAAAGAGAAGAGGGGAAGGGAGGGAGGAAAGAGACAATGCATCCTTTCCACTGTGTCTTCTCTGGGTTTTAGTACTTCCCTGACACACTCTGAAACACAGGCGGTCTCACTTTGCTCCCAGCCTTGAGGAGTCACAACACCCCGAATTTAAGGAGACCAACCAGCTGGTAAAACAGATAAAACCAGAAAAGAGATGGGGTCTTGGTTTAACGTCCTAGTCATGAGAAGCTGTCACTCTTACCAACTATCAGGCAGGAAGCCCGTATAGAGAGAATGTGGGCTTTAGAGTGAGGCACATCTCTACTGCTGACTGACTGCCTGTGGCTCTGTACAAGTCACCCACTCTGGGTTATGTCAACTGGGCGGGAGGGAGCGACTGGGGAGGGAGGAAAAGAAGGGACACCTGTCTGGCTACTCTGCGGCTTGCTAAGAGCATGAATAAAATCACCAATGGTCTAAATGTTACTTTCACGGTAAACTAAGCTGTCCACCTAGGCCATCCGAAGCCCATTCCTGGTTAGTGCGTTGTACCACACAAGTAGACAGTGCTACCACTGAGCTCCACAGACAGAAAAAGAGGACCTTTTCTATCTCAGAATTCTCAAAATGGAGAAATCAAGTCTCCAAATTGGAGAGGAAGATAAAACAGTTGGGTGTTTGACATGTTCTGTTGGTGAATCAGAAAGAAATGTGTGGGCTTCAATAAGTAGGAAAAGAAGCTTGTACTCTGACACCAAGGGATGTGTGGCACTTGAGTGATTATGTAGATGGAAGAAAAACCTTGTCTAGGATATTCAGATAATTACACCAATGGTCTTCTCACCCTCCAGCAAGCTCCATTACGCAGCCTGTCTACTTAAAAAGGAACTCTACAACATCAAGAGCAAGGCTCATCTTTTCTATTACACCATCAGAAGCCTGACCAAAAGACACGGTGGGCGAACAAACCTGAGGCTCTCCCCTCAGAGGCTGTAGACTTCTCTGTGGAACACCAAAATGTTAGCCAAGTACACAAGAATCAGAACAAGCCTTTCCTCAGGGGTGCTGGCCAAACGCAGTCTTAACAAGAGAGCTTTCTGAACGGCACTGCAGCTTCTCAGGGCTGCTGAGTAACCTAGCAACAACACTGAGTTCCTAGCATGAGAATCCTGGCAATAAAAACAGACACTTAATTCTCCTTAAAAGACGGGGCCCTGCCGGTGCTGCTCCAAATGAGGTAACGTCCATGGCTCTTATCGGGCCCTCCTTTATGGAGATGTAATGTCACTTCCCCGGGGCTCTTTGGGACCTACTCTCCGCTCTCACCTCCCCTAACGGGCGGGCGCCATTTCCTTCCACGTCAGCACCGCCATTAGGAGCCTCTGGTTTTGAAATGAACCCACATGTTCTTATTCTGCATGCCCTCTAATCAGAGTCTTTCCCAGTCTCAAAAACCCAGGCATCAGCACATTTTTGTTTTTAAGGTATACTGAAGAAATACTCTGGGGTTTGATATGACTATGTAAACATCTTCAAAGAAGTCAAAATGTATAATTCAAGAAAACATTCTGTAAAGAATTTGTTTTCTGATTACAAAATGATTTCCTGCTCTTGAAAAACTAACAGTTTGGTATTTACTTAGCTGGCTCCGAAAGTCCCATGGAGAGTATCACTCCTCTTGGTCCCTAACATCTCTCTTCTAAGTGCAAGTATTTGCTGGTTCCAAAGACAGCTTTTCTGTGGAGAAGAACCGACGAGCTGAAGCTTCCTCTCCGACTTAACCCCTTAGATGTTCTCCCTGCAGACACTAACAGTCCAGACAGACCATAATACTGCACACACCTCTGACTTCTTTCCAACCAGAGTGAACACCCTTGACAAACACAGGAATCTGTTAGACCAGCACAGTAAATGCCCAGCATCCAACTGCGACTCCTCACCTCCACCCCCATTAAGCCTTCATCAACACTTAGGTACAACCCCAGAATTGGGGCTTTTTGTCTTTCCACAGAGTTCCACATGCTAGTCAACAAAGTAAACCTGAGAACACGGAAGGTGGCCCACATGCCGAGGGGGAGGTCATGTCTGGTTGCTGGGCAGACTGGTGTAACAGACAGGGACTGCCATGGAGGAGGAGGAGGAGGAGGAGGAGGAGGAGGAGGAGGAGGAGGAGGAGGAGAAAGGGGAAGCGGCTCCACCCACTCGGCAGCCCATGCTCAACCTCTGACGCTTGGCCTTCTGTCTGAATGCGTGTGTTCACTCTCAAGATTGCTTTGCTGCTTTTCTTGTCACTCGTCTGTTTCCTTTGAACAGAAGCAGAGTTGGGGGCCAAGAGATCCAACTTGTCTGACTAAGCCAATGATGATCTCTGGGCCTCTAGGGCCTGTCTGCAAGGTTAAGATAACCTGTGCCTCTCTTTAACACAGGAACGAAGTGAGGACCCAGAAGCTGTCAGCTTTTGTTAGAAGAATCACATGGGACTGGAGAGATGGTTGCATGGGTAAAAGTGCTGCCATACAAACGTGAGGACCTGCTTCGAACACCCAGTCCCAGGGTAAAATCCAGAGGTATAGCCCGTGGGGACGAAGAATAACCCTGCAAGCCTGTGGACCACTACCCTGGTATACAAACAAGAAAACCAAGAGATCCTTCTCAAACAAGGAAGAAGGTGAGGACTGACATCCTGACATCCGAGGCTGTCTTGACTGCCACCTGGGTGCTGTGGCATGCACTCCTGCCCTCAAATACTTCTCCCTTCCTAACAAAGAAACCACAGAAACCTCTAATGTATACAATGTGGAGCAGATGATTGGAGGTGCATTTTGAGACCGTGTGTGTACGTATCCTCTACTTTTCTTTATTATGTGCTGGTGAGTTTGCCAGGGTCTACAAGGGATGAAAGGATGCCTTCCCTGGCGGCGGTAAAGGAGCATGTGCTTTGGGCTCCTATGTCTTGATATTACCTCAGATTATTGTTGAGTCCAACGCTGAGAGCTAACACCAGCTTGGGCCCTCTTTGACATCCAGTGTGTTTTGTCCTGAGAACCACGGAAGTGGAGTTCCTGTCTGGTCCAGAGCTGCAGTCCCAGGACTGCTGCCTTCTTGTCTACGTTACTCTACGATGTTCTCTCTGCACAAGGGACTCCTTCACCATGGCTGACTGACTGCTTTCAACCTCCATCTAACTGCCACCTGCTCTGAGATGCTTGCCCTGATTTCTCCAATTCAAGTCCCATGGCCCTGCCACATGTCACCCAACACTTAACATGCTACATTGGGACTGCCTGTTTTCTGCTCTTTATGCTGTCCAGGCCAGGAAGGACTTAAGTCACTGTTCTATGATACAACAGTACATAGTAGGCATTCAGTAAAATCTTTGCCAAATATATAAACAACCAAGGAACAAAGACAGAAACACAGACCTACCTTTCATTTCCTCTACGGGGAATTAGTTTTCACCATAGGGCAAGCTCATTAAAACTGTGGTAATAACTATCTGTGTGTCAACTATGGACCAGGTACATGAGCACTTTATGTGCACTAACTGATTCAGTCTTTGATTTCAAAACTGAAGACGCAGAAGGACAGGTAGTGACGGGTGGCAACCTGATGCAGAACCAGGCAGTCCATCTCTGGAGACCACAATGTGAACCATTTCACACCCTGCCTCCCACATCAGCAGGGTAGACTACAGGGTTAGAATATGCCCTGGGAGCTCAAGGCCGACTCCCACTCTGCTTATAATCTAGTAACATGACCTGAATTTAAATCCACCCCCATCCATGCCCAGGTGAGCATCCACAACAGCCATGTGAATAGATTTTGCCAACACTACCCGTTCCCAGGTTAGGGTTTTAAAAGGAAAATTTCAATGAGTTCTCATCCATTTGTTGCACATAAGTAAAAAGAACAACAAACTTCTATATTTACTTAAGACAAGAGCCAGCAAGATGGCCTGGTTTTCCACTGCTGTGATAGAATAGCATGACCAAGGCTGCTTACAGAAGATCTGTTTGGGCTAACAGTTCCAGAGGTAGGAGACCTTGGTGGCAGAGCGAAGGCATGGAGGCAGGAGCAGGGAGCTGAGGACTGACATCTTGAACCACAAGCAGGAAGCAGAGAAGCGAACTAGAAACGGTGCAAGTCTCCACGCGCTCAAAGCCTGCCGTCAGTGACACGCTCCCTCCAATAAGACTACAACCCCTAATACTTCCCAAATAGTGCCACCAGCTGAGGACCAGGCATTCTGATACCCAAGACTCTGGGGGACATTCTCATTCAAACCACCAAAGCCTGAACAAGGAATGGCCCAGCGTGTTCTGTACCTGCTGGAAAAGCATGTTGCAGAATTTAATGCACAGGATAATCTGTCAAATCAGTGTATACTGATTCATACTTGAGGTGTATGAAATCCTATTTGGGAGACAGCTGGTCATTAGGAAGTAGAAATAAGTAAGTTCTACAGATAAACTTAAAAGTCTGTGTATCAAGTCTTCACCTGCTAAGAATACATGAGAACTCAAAGTGCATCTTGTGGTGTTCTATGAAGGTCACACAGAATCACTCTACTTACTTGAAGAAGTGTCCCATGAATATGGTTTTGTCGGAAACACTGGTCAGTGCTGTTGGGGAGCGAGTCTAGCAGGGCACGGAGGGTGCTCGGCATTTGGTCTATCGTAATGAAGGGGACCAGTGCACGAGCTGCCATTTCACGGGAGCGGTAGATAGGTGAGCGACCACACCTAGGGAGAAATAAAAACAATATCATTAATGCTTGTTTCGACATCTGCATCTTTGTATATGTTTATTATTTACAGGATCAGTACCTCGTTTCAAATGACTGTTCTTATTCTTTCCTTATTCAAATGATGTTTTTCTTTGTATCTGTGTTAGTTTCATAGATTACATTACTTTTGTTAAAAAATAACACTGGCATATATAATCCTATCACGGGGGGGGGGGCGGGGGAGAAGATACTAAACGGTGATAGCAGAAAAATGGCTAATTCCTCAATGATGAACAAACATGAACTGGATACCTGTGAAGAGCAGAAAGTACTGTGGTAAACGCCATCAACAGCAAGACTATCTCTGAGCAGTCTGTAAGCTGGCTGGAAAGATGAGATGTACATTTGAAATGATGAGCAAAGCTAAGGCAGTACGGGGAAAATGATAAACAAGTGATCTGGATGTTACAAGCAATGAGAAGAGAGGAGGTATGGTTCTAGTTGGCCAAGAAAAACAAAGGCTGTCCTGGCCAAGAACAGCAGTATCTAAAGCACGGTAGAAGTGCTCAAGGGACAGGTGGGTGTGTCTGGATGGCTTTGGTGCTGACGAGGACCAGGACATTAAGGCTAAAGAACTGATGGGTTGGGCCACGGCAAAGAGCATCACAAATGGCAGGCAACAGAGATGAAGTTCCTGTGAAGAGGGCAAGACACGAACCCCAAGGCTCCAAATCCTCACCTCCAAAGAATGGGAATAAAAGCAAAGGACAGCCATGGACAAGTGGTATTTTATGATGTTAACAGAGCACTGGAAAGGCAGGGCATCTAAGGGCCTCTTAACCTTGTAAACACTCAGCTCCTGAGAAGCCACAACCACTTCGGTGAGTGAGACTGTGAAGCTGAAAGCCTTCAAAGACACAATACAGACTGCAAGAGAAGTCCTATATGGTAAAGTCTCAGCTTAGTAAGTACTTTGTCAGAATTCTCTCGACTTCATAATATTTCACCCACTTACAAAAGTAACCCAATTTCAGAGCTGTCTTAGATGCCAAGGCAAAAAGATCAGAAGACAGTAGGTTCTACTTGGCAAAGAGATGGTCTCTTAACCTTCCCCCAAAGCAAAAAGTGTTATAAGGATCTGCATATGGTCTATTGGGGCCATGACCATGGAGGTGTAGGATGCAGGGGGCAGAGTCATAGGAAGAAATGTCTCTAATATTTCAGAAGTACCACTAAAGTGTACCTTAATCTGAGAATAAAAACAGGTAGTATTTCTGGGGCCAGAGAGGGAGCTCACTAAGGCACTTGGTACACAGGCCTGGTGACCTGAGTTTGATCCCTGGAACTCATGTAAAGAGAGAACCAATTCCACCAAGCTGTCCTCTAACTCACAGACACATACACCATTGCCCACACATTGCACACACACACACACACACACACACACACACACACACACACACACACACACACACACACGAAAAGATACTGTATAAACAAAATGACTTAAAATTTCATCATGGGTGTACTGGGACACAGGACGATGAAGGAGGAGAGGAAAAGTAGTGAGGAGTGACAGACACAGTGGCCCTCAGTGCCTGAGACAGACTGGAGAGATGCCATCAGGTGGTACAGAACGGAAGACGGCCAAGGCTACAGCATGCAGCCAGTGAATGCCTTTTGGACTTTAACTAGGCTCTGACAACTCACCCATTTTGTCACTTATTTTTCCTTTAAAACGATTAAATGTTTAATCTGTAATTGGCAAATACCGTAAAATGTTTGTTTTGGCCCATGGGGGCAGAAAACTTCATTCAACAAAGAAAAGAAAATATTCTGAAAATGCTTTGCAATCTAATTAGCAAATGATTTCACTGTGCACAGCCAATTTCTGAAGCTTTCCAGTCTGTCCCTACCCAGCCCCAACTCACTATGTGGTATAGTGTTTTATGTTACCAAAGGGCTCTTGTATATAAATGTTTCCTTTCAAATACAAAAAACTCCAACATGGTTTAGATATTTAGTTTTCAATTAGCAGCAACCTTACACTAAAGAATGGCCTGCCTTCTGCTCCTGACCTTTTGCAAATGGTGATTTCCCAAAGGAATCTGGCATCTATACAGGGCAAAGAATGGAAAGTGGGAAAAGTTCCAGAATGTTCTGCTTTCCATACCCCACTTTAGGTACTTACTAAACCCATAAAAGCAGGTTAACAAGCAAAACTAAAACTATTCTCAGAGAGTAACAAGTGTTTCCTGGGCATGCTAATGCCTGCTTTTAATCCCAACAATTTGGAAGGAAGAGGCAGGTGGATCACTATGTAGAGACAGCCTGGTCTACATAGCAAGTTCCAAGGCTTGATTCCTGAGATTTGCATGGTAGAAGGAGAGAACCAACTCCCACAACTTGTCCTCTGACTTCCACACATGTGCTGAGGCATGCATGTACCCAAACCCCCTACACCACATATAAAATAAATACATGTAACTTAAAAATTTCTAGGGCAATACAATTCATAAAGATGGCAATCTGTAAAGTAAAATTTAATTAAATGACATTCATCATAAAGCAATAACCAATGTAATTTCACACTCTTTTAGTGGAGAGTGTATAAGCAGCAAGTTAGATTACAGTTAGATTCACACATATGTACCTATGAGTATTCACACACACACACACACACACACACACACACACACACACACACACACACAAATACACACTTGCAGGTTTGTTTTGACAATTGTTGGGAACAAGGAACAAAATATGTTAAGAAAATTTAGACCCTAGGGGGGCTATTAAGATAGAAAATCACACAGGTGGGTTTTCATTCTGCTTTGAACATTAAATTTTGTGACTCAGATACTGCCCCTCACTAAACCTGCTCATGAATGCCAGGCAATTGTGGTCTGCTTTCCATCCAGCTTGGCTATACGCTCTTGGGAAATGGTACCCATTAGTGACTGAGACAAATTAACTGAGATTGAACACCAAAATCTTATGAAGAAAACACTGACACTAATAAGCCACAATAGAACATTAGAGAACTGTAATGTGACCACTTGGGACCAGGCCAATATAGGCCCCAGCTTAGGCCTTAGAAGATGTGTGACTCTGTGGTCCCTCGATTCTAGTGCTCACTTAACCAGTCTTACCCAGCCTCACATGCCCCAGGCTGCTAATCTAAGTTAAAATGGAGCTGCACATCTCTATAGCAGCACCCAGCCATACCATGTAGCAAGGACAAAGGCCCACAGAGGTAATGGTGATGGCTGCTGACATGCATATCATTCCTTTCAGTGCTGGGCAACGAAGTGAACGAGTTTCCCAAAAATAAGACTAGAAGGTAAATGGTGTGATAGCTACGTCCAAAAAGCTCTTGGAACAGTACACTTTCATTATTTGGAATTACAATTATTTCTTCAATAATGAAGGGATGCATGGCTTTTAAATGTTAATCCTCAATTCCTTGCTCTTATCAAAATACATATGAAATACAATCTTCATATTTCATCTGAAATTTCATTTAAATAGTTCATCGTCTTTTTTTGCCAATAATAAATGCAATTTGAAACAAAATTATTGAGATTCTACCCAAGTGTTTTAGACAGCTAGGAAGGAGATTTTTCTCTGGCATACTGAGAAACAGTCTCCTTTAATAATAACTTTCCCAGCTTAGGAGGAAGGCTTTACAGCGATGTCCACACAAAGACACCGGAAACTCCAGACTAGAGACTTTAGGGAAAGAACTAATTTCAGTTCTTACCAAAAATAAAAATGAAGTGCTATAAATATATAAAGATCTAACAGGAACCATTTCCCCCGTCAGTCCTTCTGGGAGCTTCTCTCCAGACTCCATGGAGCAAGGATCTGCACCTTGGTCTGGAGACTCCACCCACACAACAGCTGGAAGAGCATTTCCAGATCTACTTTGGAGGCTCACAGGCTGGAGTGAGTTCTGCAGGACGCTCTGCTCTGTCTCTACAGGGACTAGAAGGGTGCCCCCAGACTCTTTGGTGGTGGTTCTGAATACAGCACCTGGGTTCAGGGTGTCTCCCTTTCTTGCAGGCAGTGGACAGGTGTGGAAGTCAACAGAACAGGCTGCCTCTCCTTTCGCTGTGTTCCTGCCGCAAGTTCAAGTTCTCAAAGTGATTAACATATTTGGCTCACACCATCAATCTTTAAGAGTGGTTCTGTGATTGATTGATTGATCCATTAAAGAAACTATAGAAAGGCACTAAGAGTTCACCCTCTTCTTTTTAATCCTAGCATGTGCCTGGGAGAAGGTTTAGAAAGAACCATGTTTATTCCTATATATAAATAAACAAACAATGAGATTTCAAATATTCAAAAACCCAATTGCTCTCTATTGGAAAATTAAGACATTAAAAACAATTCTGATATTCAAAGTACCCTAAAACTAGCCCAAGACCAACTAGAGAAACCATGGGTGCCAAATAAACTTTTTTTGGCCAACTTAACTTTTTGAGTGCCTAGTATTAATATCTGAGAAGATATTATTAGGTAAGTGTAAAAGTGATTGTGGAGTTTACAGTGTTAAAATTTGCTGGGTAATGTAGAAATACATTCCTAATCACTGTGGTTATATAACATTTTAATATACATTTCTTGCTTTTTAAAATTAATAACTTATTCATTTTATATTTGTTATATGTTTACTTTACACTATGGAAAAATGTTAGACAAAAGGAAATTTGAGTGATTTTCTAATTGGAATTCGAAATGAGCGGTAAAGCAGGAAAGACAACTAATGATGACTATAGCGAGTTTAGCGTAGAAACAGCTGATGAACAGACAGCGAGGGACAGCTGTAGGAATTCTGCAAAGGAATGAGAGCCTTAAAGCTACGGAACATGCTTGCCCCGGAGTTGATGGTGACCAGCTGGCTGCCACCATGGAAGCTGATGCACAGCTACATCCGAAGTTGCCAAGAACTCAACATGGACCATCCAATGTTTGTCTGGCATTTGAAGGAAATTGGAAAGGTGAGATCTCAGTAAGTGAATGTTATATGAGCTGATCAAAAATTTAAAAAAAGTAATGCTGTTGTTCTGTGTAATAATAATGAATCTGTGATGGAATCTGTGGTTGGCCCAGGAAGCTGCTCCAAGCACTTAAACAAAACATGCACAGAAAAGGTCATGATCACTGAAGGCCGGTCTGTGGCCAGGCTGATCCACCACAGCATCCTGCATCCCAGGGAAACCCTTACATCTGATAAGTATGTCAGAAAATCAAGGAGATGTACTAGAAACTGCAACTACTGCAGCCAGCATGGTCAACAGAAAGGGCCTGATTCTTCTCCAACAACCAGTGCTTCAAAGGTCGAATAAATTGGCTACAAACTTTTGCCATATTCATTCATCTGCCATGTTCTCCTGACTTCTTGCCTAGCAGCGAGAACCACTTCTTCAGCACCTTGACAACTTTTTGTACTTCCACAGCCAGCAGGATGCAGGAAGTGATTTCCAAGAGCCCATCGGATTCTGAAGCGAAGGGTTTATGCTACAGGCTAAGCAAACTTAGTGTCTAAAATTGTGTTGACCACAATACTTCGATTTTGATTAATAAGCTTAGTTGTAATGACTTAAAACTCAGCCCGAAACTAAAAATCCTTTTGCACCAAACTAATAAAATTAACGAAATAAAGCTGAGTGGTCCACACAATGACGGTTTCAATATTTTTGAACATGAACAGCTTGATTAATTTCCCTTGACGAGAATTTGTTTTGTTTCTGAAAGAGTCCAATGCCTATGCAGAAATCCAAGGAAAGCACAAGGCTGGAGGTGGCTAGTCTAGGTAGTTTCAAATATTCTCTCTCTCTCCTCTCTCTCTCTCTCTCTCTCTCTCTCTCTCTCTCTCTCTCTCTCTCTCTCTCTCTGCGTGTATGTACAGGGTGTATGCACATGTGTGGGAGTAGGTCCATGTACATGTGTACATGTGGGTGAATGTCACATAGAAGCCAGAAGTTAACACCAGGTGCTGTGTAGTTGGTTTTTTCAGAGTCTCTCATTAGACCTCCATGGCTCACCAATTCAGCTAGACTGGCTGGCTAGCAGGCCTAGGGACTATTCTGTCTCTGCCTCCCCAGCAATGTGATTACCAGGGGACCCGACAATACCCAGGATCAAACCTAGGTTTTCTCATGCTTACATGGCCATCGGTTTACTGACTAAGTGATCTCTCCTGCTGCTTGTCCTATCTT